CGCAGTGCTACAACCTGACGTTAAGCTGGAGGTGCAACTCTAACTCCGCCAGCTCATCCAGTTGAGGCAGGTGAAATGCTGAAGCAAACTAGACGAGCACAGGGAATAGATCTCTCTAGTCGGAGAGGAATTGGAGTTGTAATCCTGCTCTTGCCATGGACTGACCTTGAGACAGACACTTTTCTGAAGAAGGATGTAACACTTAGCTGCTTACCTCTCAGGGGTGCTAAGAAGCTTAATTAATGTTTGTGTAGTAACTTGGAGATTACCTAATAAAAGGTGTTATATATTTGTGAAGTGTTGTTATGCCATTTGTCCTACTGTACATGTGTGGGTTAGCAGGAAGCGGAAGGTCGCGTCATGATGTCATTTGCAATTTCGGACTTGAATCTACGTTGACGTCTTTCAGAGCTTCTACTTCTTCCTGCCTCCTGGAGAACTGTAACTCCTGCCTTTGTAGGACACTGTTTTCTGTGCTTCATAGCTGAGCCAGGACCTAATCCAGGACAAAGACCTTCTTCGTGAAGAGCTGATTGAGATTCAGGGCATAGAGGGAATATTACAAATGGCAGAGCAATAAGCATATGCACAATTTATTACACAGTAGAGAATTTGCTGACCCGCTTGTTGTTTCTTCATACAAATTGAGAAGATGATGAGTTGTTTGTCCTGTGTTAGGTTGTCTCTGGTGTGGCACAACTGAAAAGACAGTAGTGCGGGAATCTCAGCTTTGGATCACTGTGTTTCTGGAAGGTGGTTGATTAGAGCTGAAACAGCAAGTGGAGCCAAGAAAGCTTGCCTGAGAAAGTCTTTTGGGAAGCTTTGGGCTCCCTTAAGAAAGATAGTTATTTTCCTGCTTAGGCTTAGGGTCCTGGAGAACCAGGGAGCCTCCTGGGATGTGGAGGAGAAGATAAAATGCAGCTTGATGGAGTAAGTGGTTGTATTTTCTGTATGGCTGATGACTCAAGAGGAGAGGGCCTGGTTGTTTGCTGTGAAAGAGAGAAAAGTCTGAAACTTGAAGAAGAGACTGGGACAAAGAGGGCAAGGAAGATGTGTTTAGAGAGCACCCAGGAAGCTGTGAAGTTCTGAAAGGTGAATGCGGCGCACCTTCTCTTCTGTTCCAAGGACCATGGGCACTTCAGCTGTTGAAGTTCTGAAGTGTGTAATGTTAGTCACCAGGGCTGGTGGGTTGAAATAAGTTACTGGGGATATTTTGTTTCTGGGGAAGCAAAACTGTTGTGTCATAAATCTGAGTCTTAAAGCATGGGGAATGGGTCTGGCTTTCTTTGGAAAAAATCTTGAAAGAAGAGCTGAGCCCTCTTGCTGCCTTTTCCCCCTTTCATTTTCTCCTGCGTGCTATTTGCATGATCTGCAATCCAGCTTTTTCTGTGTGATACTGCAAGTTTGTAATCAAACGACATAAGCAACTGGGAAGCCCAGCAGCACCGCTCAGGAATGTGAAGTATTTTGAAGTGGCTCTTTCTAGAAGTGAAGCGGATTCCTTCTGTGTGGATCACGACTCCTGCTGCTTGGAGAAACTTTCCTCCCTTTCCGTGAATCAGTGGTGGGAGGCCCTGCAGGGGCAGAGGTCCACTTCTCACTTGTCTCGTACTTTCATAGTTCTCTGCCTCACCCCTGCTTTATTGTGCCACTTCTATTCAGATAGCCCTTAGGAGAAACTAGTGGAATACCAACTCCTGTGTGTTTAGGGTCTTCAGAGGAGGTACATGCCATCTGGAGTCACAATATGAACCTCAGTGCTGCCTCTAAACAGCCACAGAAGCAGCTGCATTTAAGCGTCCTTCTGCCTGACTTGGGGTTTTATTTCACTCATGACTGTCCCAGATTCACTGTTAAATACTATTCCACCTGCGAACACCCTATGTTCCAGGAGGGACACCTATAGATTAGAGCTAATTTCATTTCTTCCACGGGAGACATTATCCTTTTCAAGGAGAGTTGCCAGAGGTGGTAAATAGTGCTTTTCCCAACATCCCAGGATTTTCTGGTTAAATAATAGGAAGACTGTGTGCAATTTTGCTTCTTGGCCCTGGGGAGGAGGATAACGAAGGAGGTGTGAGTGTCAGTTCTCTGTCAGCTCTATCCAGACTTAGGTGGCAGTGGTTCTTGGGGGGATCCTAGAAGGAGTAGCCTTGATCCTGGAAGTTCGTTTTATCTGTGAAGTTTCCAGAATGCATTTTGGGAGTGAAGTTTCCAGTTCGTTGAAAATGATGATGTTTCTTCTGAGGTTTGCCCCAGCAAGTGTAGCCTGTGATGTGTTGTGGGTTCCCCATAGTGAGAGGGAACCTCAGCAGCAAAGCAGGTCAGCGCAAAGGGTGCAGTTTGGAGCCCCTGATAATGCAGCCTTGCTGGGTTTGTTAGCTTGGGCCCTCCACAAGAGCTGCTGCTGCCAGGAGGAGAGAGTGGCGCAAGCTGGGAGGGAAAAGCGGGATTCAGCAGACAAGGTGCTCCTTGAAAGCCTGTGCTGCAGGTCCAGGGGAAGGGAAGGAAGGAGACTGTCACGAGCTATCAGATGTCTGAGGAGTGATAGACAGGGTTATGAAATTGGGAAGATGAGTAGGAGAGGGGCAGGGGGCTACTAGGTGAAGAGGAGGAGGAGGAGGAAGTGTCTTGAGCCTTGCCCAAAGGACCAGCTGGGAACTGTTGGTCCAGTGACCAGGGTGCAGGACAGGAAACCAGTTCCCTTTATCTGCCACTAATAGGCTGTGTGACGTGGAGCAGCTGGCCTACTTCTCTTTGCCTCAGTGATCCAGTCTGCAGGTGGGTGACCTCACCACTTGCCTTCCTTTGTAAGAGCTTCCCTAGGCTCCTTGCGCACGGTTTATGCTTTGGCTTCTACTGGCAACCACTTCTCACTCGCTTATCACTGAAAGCCTTGTGTGCCTTTGCTTACAGACCACACCTCACCACACGTTTTCTGACAGGTTCAGAACTGGCAAATACAAATACTGACCTTCCCAGAGCTTTCCTTCAAAGGGCTGGCATGTCCAGCTGGGCTGCTGACCCTGGCACACTTCTTTGCCAG